TGGCTTTATTAATAACGGGCCCAAACTGGCAATATACTCATCAACTGGTGAATGAATAAGCAAATTTCAGTACATTCATACAGTGGAATACTTCTCAGCAATGAAACAAACAACAGAGACATGCAACAACACGGATGACTCTCAAAAGTATTATACTAAGTGAGGGAAGCCAGACATCAGAGGCTGTCTGCTGTGTGATTCCATCTATGCAACTACATAAAAGTAAATGGACAGAAGTCAGATCTGTGGTTGCTGGGATGAGGTGGGATGGGAGCGGGGAAAGGTACTGACTACAAAAGGCCATGAGGGAAGATTTTGCAGTGGTAAAGATAGTGTAGGTTTTGACTTTGATGGTGATCATGTGACTATATCTATTGGTTGAAACTCTTAGAACTGTGCTTCTTTAAAAGGGGTGACTTCTGGAGTAAATTATACCTCAATAAGCCTAATTTGAAAAATTAAGAATGTTGGAGAGAGAGAAACATAACCAAATGCAATGTGAATTTTGGTCAGTCTGGTTCAAAACAAAGAAGGTATAAAGAACATTAAGCAACAGTGGAAAATGAAAATATTGATTGATTATTTAATAATATTAGGGAATTGTAAAATTTTTGTAGACATTATAATGTTATTGTGTTTATGTAAAAGTATGTCCTTACTCTTTTATGTCCTTATTCTTAGGATATACAGATTAAAGGTATGGAGGGGTAAACTGTGATGTTTGTAAGTACTTTGAAATGGTTCAGTAAGAGAAAGGTATAATTAAAGCCAATATGACAAAATGCTAACAATTATTGAACCTGGTAGATGTGTAGGTGCCTATAAACACTATTCTTGCAGCTTCTCTGTATGTTTGCAATATTTCCCAGTAAAATGACGGGGCAAATAAATGTAACTGACCAAAGAGTTCATCCAACCAGCACTGCAAATAGCCAATTAGGCTGACATGGGGGTGCAGTGAAAGAAATCAGCACTTGTTGTATAGCAGTACCCAATGGAGAACAGGCAGCTTCTCCTGGAAAAATTGGACCTCTCTGACGGTTTACAGGCAAGGGGTGTTATAGAGCAAAAATAACAAGGCATCATGGGTAAGGGGTTTGGGATCCCTGGTCTTGATGATTGGTCAATAGCAACAAATCATTATTTCAGGTCTTGAAGTAAGGTTCGGGGTCCTCCAGTCTGGTTTCTCAAGGAGGTGACCAGAGGGTCGTTCAACTTCAGAGTTCAGGAGCTGAAACACACTTTAGGGTATAATGTTATTTTTAGCTTAACAAAACCCACACTTACGACCATCTTAGGACCTGGCCATTGTTTATGGCTTAGTTAATAAAAGTAAGGGGAAGGAATGAGGCTTATGGGCTTGTGTGAAGGAACTGAACTGAGCTTAGGGGCTACATGATAAATCAAAATCAGACTCGTATACTACATCAGGGCCCTCGGTGTCACAGACTCACATGAATAAAATTCCTTAAGTTCTCAAATATCTTGTACAACATTCTTCAAAAATCAAAAGTGAAAATGATAGTAAATTATTATCAGAGAATTTTGTCAGAAAAAAATTACACTCCAGAAATCAATTTACTCTGGAAATTAAAACAATTATAACCTAAAGTGTTGTAAAGTGAAATAAACTTATTTGTGTAAGTTTACATCTTTATCTTTTATCTTTTAATATAAAATTTATTTTTTTTTTACTGTTTACTGGCAAATGTTGGTTCATTTGTTGAGTACACTCACTTCAAGCAGCCTTTTACAAAATTACCCCCAGGCTGTAAGCTGTGCTGCAGTATGCAGGTAGGTGGCAGCAGCGTTCACAAAAAACAATTTTACTATTCAATGGTTGTTACTCCTAAAGTCTGCATTAAGTCCTTAATTTCAAAGTACTTTATAAATTGACTGGCTTCTACCTTTTCTAAGTTACCTCTGTGCCTACCATTTGGTTTTTAGGTGCAATTATATTCTATTACATATACATTATTTCTCTTAACAAGGACACAACAAATGCACTATTTGGGGGGTCTCCATTCTGTATTTCATAATTTACTTCTAGTCAGTGTAATTGACTAGAATGCAAATAAATCTGGACATTTAGCTTTTCAGCCTCTGCAGTAAAGAATGGCACACTAGAAAGGAGTGGAATGGATGTTAAGTATTAATCTACTTTATCCCCTAAAGGAGAACTAACGGATCTTAAACAAAGTGAAGGGGAAGAAAAATGTAGACCTAATCCTCGTATATATTGAGTTTAAAGTGGTTAAAGCATTTCATTATTGCTCTGCTCCCCAAACTATCTCCTCATCTAGAAATTCCAGCTTCTGTTAAAACTTCCATCATTCTGTTATTTATCTCTTTTAGAAATCTTATGAATCCTGTATCTATGTGGCATCCAAGAAATGTTTCTCGATAATATACTCATAAATGTTGCCCTGCACTACAAAAATAATGTAAACATATAACTAAAAACAAAACAAAAAACTATCATTCTAGTAACAACTCTTAGTACTGAAAATTATAAGGTTAGCAAATTAAATCACTCTGACAGAGTTACTAATATCACTTCTATAGCAGTGATTTCTCACCTTTAGTTTTGTCTCAAAAGACAAAATAGGAGTAACCAAAATTACTAGAGAAGACAGTATTTTTTGTGAAGTTTTCATTTAAAAGGGTCTTATTATAAAAGACCTGTGTGCCATGCTTGAATACATTGCTGATGCTCAAACAACATTTAGTGCTGGTCTGGCCAGGGTGGCTCAGTTTGTTGCGCATCATCCCGCAAAGTGAAAAGTCACCAGTTGGATTCCCAGTCAGCACACATGGCTGGGCTGCAGGTTCGTTCCCTGGATGGGGCAACCAATCTATGTTTTTGTCTTGCATCAAAGTTTCTCTCCCTCTATTTCTTCTTTCCTTCCCTTCTCTCTAAAAATAAATAAATAAAATATTTCAAAGAAATATTGATTATTGAATGAAAAAATGAAGCTCAAAATCAATGAGAATCCTTTAAAGTGTTTTAATCAGGGGAATGACTTGACAAGACCGCTTTTTAAATAAATCAGAGAAGAAAAAGAGTTTAGACTACTTAGAAGCCCATTGTTACTCTAGACAAGAAGTCATTTAGTCCATCCCCTCATTTCACAGGTGAGGAAGCTGTGATCCTAAAGAAGTTAAGTGGTTTGTTCAAGGTTTCAGAGCAAGTTAGTGGCAAAATTGGCTTTTCTCCCTACGCCCAAACACTTCTTTAAAAAATGACATTTCATAACCTACAAATTCATTATTCAACACCTAAACTTGAGATATCCATAAGAGGATTGCCAGTGTAATGTCACAGTGGTACAACAATATTGCAAATTTTCAGGTCTAACCACTTTCCAACCACTGATGATTCCTAACATCTTCCCTCCCTCCCTGCTTCTTCTCATTTCTCAGTTCTCAGTCCTCCTTTCACTTCCTCCCTGTGCTACACCGGCTTCCAGCTGCCAAGAGGTGGATTTCATCACTTACTCAAATCGGGAGTTTTCCTTTTGTCATTTAACTCATTTTTTTATTACATTGAAACTAAAACATAATGTGATTTTTATCTCAAAAAAGTTAAGTCGGACTTAAAGTTTATAATGTGAAAATTTGAGACATAGGAAGCAGGTCTCAATTTAATATAAAGGTAAGACATCTGACTGATGTGGTTCAGTGGACTGAGTGCTGGCCTGTGAAACAAAGGATCACTGGCTCCATTCCCAGTCAGGGCATATGCCTGGGTTGCAGGCCTGGTTCCCGATGGGGGATGCTCAAAAGGCAGCCACACATTGATGTTTCTCTCCCTTTCTTTCCTCTCTCTAAAAATAAATAAAATAAAATCTTTTAAAAAAAGAGAGTACACCTGAACACTTTTCTCTAGTTTACTAACTATTGGACTGTATTGTATACCTTACTTTGTAGACAATTTGGCTTCCCATATCTACTACTGCAGAGCCCATGGAAACCCCTAGTGGTGCAGAAAACCATGTGGTCTCTCCACTAGAAAAGGAGGATCAGACTGAAGGTTGCTGGCTTGTTTTGATTTCTGAGAATAGGCTGGTTTAATTGCAGAGAATGCTCAGACTCAGGCTACAAAATCATGAGTTTTTCTGAAATAGTGTGAAATAAGAAATGGTGTAACTTCTTAGGACCCCTGCAAAGTGAACCAGAAGTCCTCCCAATGTTCCCTTCTCCCATTATTCTTTTTGCAGTGTTGACCTAAATCCATTCTCTGAAGGACCATTTCCCACCTGGAACTGTTCATTGCATTTTGGCCCCAGTGTAGCTCTGTAAATCTTACCAGATAACTAACTGTAGGGACCCCATCTGTGTGTCAGAGCGTCAGTGATCCATAGCTCAGAAAGCATAAAAAAAAAAAGCTTGAAAATTCATAGCTTTCTCTGCCAAACATATTTTGTCAAACATCCACTGGTAACACTAGAATTCAAAATACTGACAAAAAAAGTGGGAAATCCCATGTTCCCATAACTGTGTTATGCTTAGTGGACCATCAAAATGGACATGGGATAAAGAGCATCATTTTTCTAAAAATTTAAACAGAGCTTGGTGGTCCTGAAAAACAACAGAATAGCCATAATAAAATTATTCTATGAATTAATTTTTAATGAAGTGGAGTTAATTCAAGTCATGCCTTCTGAGGATGACAATGGACAGCAATTGAAATAAAAAGAAAATAAACATGATCTGGATGTCTCTTCTAAAGCCCATTATCTCTAAATCAGTTCCTTTTCTCTTCTGGTGGTATTCATCTTCAGTTTATTTTGTTACTGTAATTCTAAGTACATGTAGTTAACTAGGGATTGCTTTCTCAAAGTTGGTCTATGCCTGTTTTCTCTTACCTCATAAAAAGTAAAGGAAAGAAAGTGTGTGTGTGTGTGTGTGTGTGTGTGTGTGTGTGTGTGTGTGCATGCGTGTCCTGTTGGTGGTTTAAAGTTGAGTTGGGACTTCCTCTTTGAACAGTTGCCTTTTCCCCTCACACAAGGGAGATCTCATTTTGTTTGAGACTGGATACAGTTGAAAACAAACCTCACGCCAAAAAGAGAGTATGATGGCTAAGAAGCCCCCGAAACCAGCCCCTCGCAGGATCTTCCAAGAAAGGTTAAAGATTACTGCTCTACCCCTATACTTTGAAGGTTTCTTATTAGTCAAGCGGTCAGAACACCAGGTAAGTCCACAGATGATAGTGTTGAACTAGAAGCTTCTGTATTAATATAACATTTATTTCATGGTGTTGTGATGTGGCAAGGGCCTCCTTGTTTCTGTTGGGATTAAACCTCCTTCCTGGAGCTCAGAAATAGTATTCCAACTTTGCATAATTTAAATACAAGGTATGGCTTAAACATATGTGTATATGTGTATTATACTGAATAATAATATGTTTTAATATTGCATTGCTAAGATTTAAAAAGTCAATAAACTAAATTTCTAAGCAATTCATTTACACATTGCAGAAGATTTTGGCTTAATAGATGAAATGTTTCCTGTATTTTCTCTGCAATTTACTACTGTGCTTTCATGATGACTTGTATCATTAAAATAAAACATTGTGATTGAAACTGAACCTTCTGTTCTTATTTTTAGTTGTGTGAAGGTTGTAAATAATGATCAAATTGTTTTTTAAAGTGTTAAACTATTGAAAAAAGTTGTGAAAATGACAAAAGTAATAATGTTTAACATTATGTATAATAATATGTTCTAACACCACTGTTTAAGATTCTGAGTTTAAAAGATAATAGTGTAATTGAAAAATTTCTAAAGGAAAAAAAATTATATTTAGGGTTCTTTGTGGGTGGTGTGTACTTGACGTAACATAAATACACTCTACAAGAAAATTCACAAAGCATCCTATGTTTTGAAAATGTAAGAATGAAAACTAATAGTTAACATCAGTGCTTTTAGAATCATATTTGTAGATAATTGAAATTAATGAGAGAAATAAACACAAAGTGCCTGTTACTAAAGAAAATTCACTGGCAGCTCAAATTTTATGGAGCTTTAATATTAACTGAAACTACAAAAAATTTAAATGTTTTGAGAAATGCCATAAGAATGCCTAATAATAATAAAAAATATTTTTCTTGTGGATTTATCATTACTTGGAGAAAATTATATATGTGAAAATATCTATAATAGCACATATTTCCTGCATTAATAATCAGGCCATTTACTATTTGAGAGTAAAGACATGGTCATTTTTACTCTGTTATGGGTGCTAAATGTGTATTTTTATATTTGTCAGTTACGTTGGAATATTTTTTGCTTGATCCTATATGCTTCAAAAGGGAATTCAGTTTTGTCACCATAGGTTAGCCACTTTGTTTGTTACACTTTGCCAGAAAAGAGGAGTTGGGAAAAGGGAATTTCTGATTTGTGATTTAAACTTTGTAATTCGTTGATTGTTTCTCAGAGTATTTATAAGTGTTTCTGATATCAGATTAATTCTTTTTTTATGTTTAAAGAAGGCATTCTATTGATATGGTTAGGAGAAAAAAACAAAGATTTTAGTAAAACATGACTTTACCTGATGGTTTTGCTACATGATCATATACAAGCTAATCAATCTCCTTGAGACTCAATTTCCTCAGTTATATAATGGAGAGACTGCAACTTGCCTCCCAAGGTACCATGGTAGAGATACACTACCATGGTATTTGTCTTTCACTGCTCAGTCCATTTACTCATTCATGCAGTGTCCATTGAGCACCTTTTATGCACCAAACATCACTCTCAGTTCTGGAGAATATGAATAAAACACAAAGAACCTTACCTTTAAGAGGCTAGGTTTAGTCAGGAGTGACGTCTCCCTTACCCAATTACTACTCTAACTTTTCTTAGAAAGTACGCTTTGAAATGGAAAGAATAAAGTATAGGCATAAGTATTTCTGATGAAATTAACTTGTATTTCCACTCAACTTTGCAACAAAGTACCTTTTACCTGTATGTCAGGGAGAATAGAGCAAGAGGACCACAATAATGTCTACAAATATGGTGGGTTTCAGGGATTAGAGAGATAACAGAAATAAAACACCTGGCTCACACCAAAGGTTAGATGCATTCTCTTCCCATTTTATTATTTATCATGTTCTTTCTTTTATTGTTGTTCATCCCATCCCCCTCCCCACTGCTCTCCACCACTCCCAACGACAATCCCCTCCTCATTGTCCTTGTCAATGGGTCATTTTTACATGCCCCCCTACTTTCCCCCGTTTTTATCCCCCTCTCTCCTCCCATCTGGTCACCGTCAGTTTGTTCTTTATTTCCAAGTCTCTGGTTCTTTTTTCTCCTTTGTTTGTTTTGTTGATTAGGTTCCACTTATAGGTGAGATCATATGGTATTTGTCTTCCACTGCCTGGCATATTTCACTTAGTATGTGTATCATATTCTTATTAACATACTAAAATCAGTTTTGAGTCCACACGTAATATTGTTCAAAGAAGAGCTATGATGATAGAGTGCTTAAAAATGAAAGCTATGAGAAAAAGTTAAAGAAAATGGTGGAATTTCTATGTAAGAGGCCTCAAAGTGTCAGGGAACCTTGAAAGGAAGCCAAGGGTGTTTAGAAGGTCATCTTTGGAGCTCATCAGCCAGAGACCTGGCAGGCTCTACAGAATGTTACGTGCAGTCTCTACATGAAAGAATTCAGAATATTTAAGCTACTGATTGTAAAACTGAGAAGCAACTTGGTATATAGGGAAATTAGATATTAAGAGGTGTGTTTTAGCTGTTTTTGTGAAAGGGTACATTTAGGAATTTAAGGGACTTTGACCTTGGTAAAATATGTCAATATACATTGTTTAAAATGCAATTCCAGAAGGTTAGTGGATCCCAGGTTAAGAACCCATTAAAAGTATATAATCTCCATGGAAGAAATAATATGGGAGGATTTACTTAAACCACAGCACTAGAATTCTGGATTAATCAGGAACATTTATTTGATAATAAAAGCTACTAAATGCCACAATGAGATACTAATGCCAACACAGTTCTTATAAATGGGGAAAATGCTCATTTTCTGGAACTGTTTCAAAATAAGAGAGAGTTTGGGCAGCATCTCACAGTTTCTTCAATGTGCTAAAATGTGTGCAATATGTCTTCTTATTAACCTGAACATAAGAATGTGGTTATCAGAATCGTATCAAAATAACATTTCTCTGACTAGTGCTCTAATTGCTACCAACTTATTCAGAAAAATTTCAGGGCAATCTCAGGTGTGTTCTCACACCTAGTCCTCTATGCCGTAATCTCTAATTTTTAAAAATAATCTATGCCTTGCAATGTTTTTGAGCACAGATCTATAAGACTATTAATTTATTTAAAAATTATATATTATACTTCTTTACTAATATTCCAAGCAAGTTACTAGAGATATGAAAAAACAATTAAGAAAAGTTAAATAAGTAAAGTGTAATTAGATTTGGTAAAAATTTCTTCCCCCATGGGGTTATCTTGCACACCCCTGGGATTTATGTGGCCCACTTTGGAGACCACAGTACAACATCCTTCCTTAAGCAAAGGCACTTTGCTTCCTCAGAAGAAAGAGAATGGGAGCTTTTTACGGGGACCTGGGACAGAGAGGAACTTAAGAGGATTCTGCATTGTACCCATTTTTACTAGTTACATCAATGAGAAAGACCCGTCGGGAAACAGAAGATATAAGTACCAGCCCAATTATGGAACTTGGGCAATTTCTTTAAATATTTTAATCTGTTTCCTCTTTTGTAAAACTGAATGGTTTGCTGTGATGATCAAATAGGCTATATAATAATGTGTGTATTTTCGTAAGGTGTTGACATATGACGCATGTCATGCTGGGCTCTTAATGTACTGTCACTCTGATCACTATGATAGCTCTTCTGGATAGAAACTATTTTATCCCCTTCCCAGATGAGTGAGTTGTGGCTCATAGATGTTATGGTCAAGGTTCCTCATCCATTTAAGAAGCCTCAAATGAGGCTTTTGTTGCAAATCACTTATGATCATGCCGCCTCTCAAACTAAAGTTCTAATTCCATTTGTGGATTCGCAAGGTTGGGGATGTTTAATCAATAAATTCTTTATCACGTTGCACTCAACAATAAGCTCAGTACTTTCAAACATTTGTTTAATTAAATAAAAATGAGATAGTAACCTTAAACTAAATACAAGGTCACATAATGATTATGAAGCTAGCAATAAATTCAAAAGTCCCATTTCAGTCCCTTTTCTTACTTCAGCAACTCAACACAAATGATTGGTAAAAAATAAGAAACTTTGTGGTAAATGTATTTCATTCAAAAATGTGTCCTTCAAAATTAGTTTTTAAAATATTTACATACCTCTGTAGATATAAATACATACCTAGATGTTGATCATTGAGAGTTATATTTATACATGACTCAGATTATACTGGTGTTCATTAGAGCTTATCAGAAACTAAATCAAGACTTGACCCACGGGTCTCTGCATATGAAATGTGAGTTTGATCTGTTCTTAGGTTTGTGGTTGCGGTTGGAGTTCACAGTACCTATTGTTATTTATAATCTTATTTTTCCTCCAGACTGCCTTTACTCTCAACTCAGTGCCTTTGTTCTTGCTTCTTCCTCCATTTAATAAATCTTCCTTAATTCTTTCTATGAATCTATAATTTCACTTACCAGTAAAACTCCCATTTTTCTCTGGCCAACTCTACCCAATTCATAGCATTCTGTCATGACTAAACACCTCTGTAGTTTTTCTTAGGAGCACAGATGGATATCTGCATGTATGTACAGAAGAAAATCAATAAACCTTGACTAGCTATTAGTGACTTTAATTTTTCTGTCAGGTGGGAGGTTAATACCAATAAAGGTAATTAAGAAGATGACCATACTGGCAGACTTTGACGTCAGGGTTTTCTCTGGCTTTCTGTTCCTCCAAGACTCAAAGAATCTTGAATTTGAACTTGATCTTAGATGCTATATGTCAGAACAACTACACAACCTGTCATTAAGTTCTCTAATCAATATGCCGATATTCTGATCCCTTCTCTGCTCTCCCTTACCCCCATCCTTGCTACAAAATACACCATCATCTTGACTTAACCCTTGCACTGAGAGGCTTACAATTACAGTAGGATGTGAAGGTCTTAAAAAGGGAAATGTGATTTTTTTAAAAAAGCTCTCAAGATCAATTTGAATTACTTTATTAT